TGAGCTACGACTCCACGGCATTCTACCAAGTGTGATAAAGTGAGACTCTGTCTCAAAAAAAAAAAAAAAAGAAAAGAAACATGATTACAGGCCATGCACAGTGGCTCACACCTATAATCCTAGCACTCTGGGAGGCCAAGGCGGGTAGATTGCCAGAGATCATGGGTTCAAGACCAGCCTGAGCCAGAGTGAGACCGTGTCTCTAAAAAAATTGCAGGGCACTGTGGCAGGTGCCTGCAGTCCCAGCTACTTGGGAGGCTAGGCAAGAGAATCACTTGAGCCCAAGAATTTGAGGTTGCTCTGAGCTCTAATGCCACAGCACTCTGCCAGGGGTGAAAAAGTAAGACTGTTAAAAGAAAAGAAACATGATTATGTAGTAAATGAGGATGGCACTTAAACTCTGACAAAGACCTAAAGCAGTAGAAGCAGGTATCAGAGTGACTGCAGTTTGGAGTTATCATGAAGTGGTAAAAAGAGGGTCATGTGGGCTCAGTGCCCATAGTTCAGTGAGTAGGGCACCGGCCACATACACTTAGGCTGGTGGGTTCAAACCCGGCCCAGGCCGGCTAACCAACAATGACAACTACAACAGCAACCAAAAAATAGCAGGGAATTGTGGCAGGTGCCTGTAGTCCCAGCTACGTGCGAGGCTGAGGCAAAAGAATCGCTTAAGCCCAAGAATTTGAGGTTGCTGTGACGCCACAGCACTCTACCGAGGGCAACAGTGAGACTCTGTCTCACAAAAAAAGAGGATTATGTGACTTGAATGAAAAGTACTGATAGACTTAGCAGGTCACACCTGTAATCCCAGCACTTCAGGAAGCTGAGGCAGGAGGATTGCTTCAGGCTAGGAGTCCAAGACAGCCTGGGCAACATAGTGAGGCCCCCATCTCTATGAAACAATACAAAAATTAGCTGGGTGTGGGGGGTGCCAGTAGCTGCTGGGTGTGGTAGAATGTGCCTATAGTCCCAGCTACTTGGGAGGTTGAGACAGGAGGATTGCCCGAGCCCAGGAGTTTGAGGTTGCAATGAACTATGATGACACTAGAGTACTGTAGCCTGAGCAACAGAGCAAGACTCCATCTCAAAAATAAAAAACAAAAACCAGAAAAGTTCCAACACCAGACGCAATGGATGGGTGTGGCTAATAACATACTTAGGGAACTGAGGGAGCCAGTAGACGTTTGAGTTGTATACATGCATTTGTTTTATGTGTTTTTAGGTAGCTCAGTTCAGCTGAGTACAGTTGCCTTCTTTTTTTTTTTTTTTGCAGTTTTTGGCCGGGGCCGGGTGTGAACCTGCCACCTCCAGTATATCGGGCCGGTGCCCTACTCCTCTGAGCCACAGGCACCACCCCAGTTGCCTTCATCTAGTATTTTTTTTTAATGCAGTTTTTGGCCTGGGCTGGGTCTGAACCCACCACCTCCAGCATATGGGGCCAGCGTCCTGCTCCTCTGAGCCACAGGCGCTACCCTCATCCAGTATTTTTCATGGATGAGATCAGTCCTAAGGCTCAGTGCCTGTGGCTCAAGTGGCTAAGGCACCATCCACATACACCTAAGTTGGTGGGTTCGAATCCAGCCTGGGCCAGACAAACAATGATGACAGCTGCAACCAAAAAACAGCCCGGGCTCAGTGCCTGT